ATAATATTGAGTTCTGTACTACTTGTCAGTATTTCTAAATATACGAATTCGGTTTAAATTTAAATATACGAATATCGGTTTCAAACAAACTGCAGGTAGTTTACACCATGCCATTTTAGAGAATGCCTCACACGTGACCATTGGACTAAGACGGTAAAATTGCTCCAGTCCTTGGTTCATTGGGTCGGGGTGGCAGTTCAGTAGACCAGGGGTCCATGGTATTTGAAATTTTGCGACCACTCAGTATATGTTAAGGCTGGATGCATCTCACACCATTCTATTCAATAGAGCGATACTCCCTGAAATTCGAATTTGGAAGAGTTAAAAGTTGTTTACGGAAATCATTTTGTGTTGATGCAAAAGCGTCTATGTAGCACTAGATTCAAGGGCAGTTAATGAGGTTGCGATAACGGCCAAAGGGATTTGAGATGCATCAAGCATCGCAGATAGGCAAGTGTTATGTAGCCGTGAGGTAATTAAATGTTCACTCTAAATATGCAAACAGGAGGATTGGAGCGGTGTATTACGCCGTGAAACGGGTTTGTAGTGGTCAAGCGATGGCAGCTGTGTTTTGGTGTGTTACTAATTTCGTAAATCCTTCATTCGTCTCCACAATTCCCGTTCTTGCAAAGGGACCGAATGCAGATGTCCTCACATTTCTGAAGTACTTTCAGCAACTTGGATAAGTGCAGACAACAATTCTATTTAACGTCCTGAAATGACTTTCGGCGGGTGAGATCTCTCGTATATGCGAAATTTATAGCAGGCTATAAACCTGTGCAGCGTAAAGTATAAACGGTTAGTTAGTTCTACACCCATTTGCCATTTAAACACATCTTGCTTTGGAAATGTTCTACTGGGAGGAATGAACAAGTTACCTTTAGACATGGGCTGACATTATATCGTCACGTGCTGGTATTTGGTACCCGTAACGTGCGATATTATCTACAGGGAATATTCACGAGCTGAATATCATCGATCATTACGGTAACCCGATTTGGAATAGTAACGCTGTGATCCGTACATGCAGATTAAACATAGCAATAAAGGGTACAGTCGCATCAGTCCAGTGGAGAGGGATTAAGTAATGAATATTGAAATTTT